GCGCGGGGGCGAATTTCGGAGCAATAATGTGGCGGTGCCTGAAGGGTCGAGCGGGGGCCGGGCATGGAGCTCCCCGGCCTGGAACCGCGGGGGCCGCTCAAGAGGGAGACAGCCAGGTGCTTGTCGGCGGTCGGAGGCAAAGGCTCGCGAGAAATGGATGCCTGTCGGAGAAAGCCCGGCGCAAAGTGCTACGCTGCGAGAGCTGATTGACAGGGGGGGCCCCCCGCTTCAACGCTGGAGGAAAATGCAGCTTCCTTTCAGACATACCTGTCCCCTCTCCTCCCACATATTCGAGAAGCAATATTACCTGGGGGTAATTTGCGTGATGAGGGGAAGGGAAGGGGGCGTCGAGCAGGGCGCAGTGGTCGGGGTCACGCGAAGGGCGGCATGGGTAACAAATACATATTAGGAGCTGTGGAAGCCCTCCGCACGCATGGCCCGGGACCTGCGCGTCGGGCGCCTGCGGGGCCCGATGTTCATGGCCTGGGCTGGGCGGGCCGGGGGCTTCCTCAGCCATGAGTTGTCGGCGGTCTTCCGAAGCGGGGCGCTCGCCTGGTGGCTGCGCGCCGCGGTGGCGGGCTGCCTTGCACGGAGGCAGCGCGGACCTGGACCCGAGGGCTCAAGGCGTCGAAAGCAAAATCATAGCCCACGCGCCGTTGCGTTGCTCCGCGGCCTCGATCACTGGGAAGGCCTAGCGGCCAGCGCCGCCGACCCTGAAGGGAGACGGCGACGATGATGGCGACGGCGGCAGCGGCGACGACGACGGCGCTGACGCTTTGGAGCCTTTCTTGGGGCTCGCTTGGAGTCTCTGTTGGGGCTTGGGCTGGGGCCGCGGCAGGGGCCGGGGCCGAGGCCGAGGCTGGGGCCGCGGCCGGGGCTGGGGCCGGGGGCCGGGGGCTTAGGCCAGGGCTTGGGGCGCGGGCAAGGGGCTTCCCTGCGATGGCAGTCCGACGTTGTTCAATATTGCTTTGGTCGGCGCGCGGGAGGAAGAAGGCCCAAGCGAATGGAACAGAGGAGGATGGAGACGACGACCCCAATGGAAAATCCCCACTCGAACGGAAAAGCCCTTCACACACGCCAACAGGTCGCTGTTGTGATGCTCCGAGGTCCTGGTTATTTGAGCGGCCTCCTGCAAGTGCCGCCGATTCGGGGCCTCCTGGAGTCTCTTGGGGGCCTGTTGGGGCCTCCTTGGGGGGGGGGGGGGGGCGCCCGCGGGCGCCGAGTGGTGGTGGTGGGGGGGGGGGGGGCATCCCCCAGTGCCGGGGGGGAGGGGTCCCCGGTGTCAATTGGAACCCTTTCCGTTGATGTTTAATGTCGTTTCATGTGTCTCTTAGCGCAGTATTTGCAGCAGTGCACCAAGCAGTGCGTTTCATGGTTGTTGGGCCGCCGCTGTTTCATGATCGAGGGGCCCCTGAGTCACGCAGAAGGTTGCGCTCTTTGTTCTTCGTCCGACGAGACTATTCATAGTGAGCCCGAGATGCGACAGACCGCATTCTCCAGAGAGCGCGTGAAGGTCACCGTGTGCTTTCATCGGTTGATATTGGTAGCGGAGCAGGTGGTCTGCCCCACCTGCTCCCCCGATTCCAGTCGCGCCGCCGGCGCCGGGCGCCGCGCCGCCAACCTCGCCGCCAGCGGCGCCGCCGACAAGGAGCACGGGCGCGAGATCTGCACAGGGGGCTGCAGGAGCTGCCCCAGCCGCCGCGGCCGGTTCGCGGGCCCAGGCGGCGGACGGGACACAGATCCCTAGCAGCGTGGACGAAGCCGACTGCGCGCCGCGCTAGGAGAAGAGGATGACAGTTGGAGCCGCTGGAGGAGCGGTGGCTGGTGGACCCACGCCGAGAACGGCTGGGGCGGGGGAAGAGGCCTGGATGCAGGCTTGAGCAAGACTGCGCCCAGCTTCGAGCTGCTGCGCAGTGAGGGTTATAGAGTTTTCCGCCGCAAGCTCCAGGTCTTCGAGAGGTGCTGCCGCAAGAGAGGTCTCAACGCCGTCAGCGAGGGCGCCTATCTGATCATGAACTCGTTGCAGGGTGAGGCAGCAGAGGCTACGGAAAATATGGGCCTGGACTTGAAGTTGGAGACAGAAGACGCGCTCCAGCCCATCATCGAGGTGCTGGACGAATACTACAAGTACGATAATCAGACCGAGCTGCCGGCCGGAACCGACACCTTCTCCGGCAAGTTCGCGCGACCGGAGAAAGAGGCGCTTAAGCTGTATTGCTTGCGCCACCAGCGAGAGCTGCGCAAGCTGAAGGAGGTCGGAATGGAAATCCCTGACATGTTGGCCGGCTGGCGCCTCCTCAATCGAGCCGCGATACCACCGAACGGAGCCGCCCAGGTGCGTAGCCAGTGCAGAGACGGTCTCAGTTGGCTGAAGGTTCGCAAGGTGCTGCTCGATGCGTGCGGAGCGGAGGCTACGCCTGACAGGCGCGACGCGAAGAGGACCGAGCGGACGCTCGCAGGAAGCAGCGCCACCGCGGACGCGAACTGCACGCGCGACTACGAGTGGGAGGGAGGTCTCGCCTACGAGGACTCGTACCTGGGTGAGGACGGCTACTTGGAGGAGGAGGACGATTACGACCACTACTACGAAGATGACGACGGCTACGGGCACGAGCAGGACGACGCCGACGGGACTGAGGACGCGCCGCCAGAGGTCGAGGATGCGCAGGTTGCCTGCGACGACGAGGCGCACGTCAGCTTCATCGAGAGCAAGAAGCGCGTGGCCGAGATCGCCAAGTCCCGCTGCTTTTACCCGATCGTCGCCCTGGCCACTGACAACAACTCCACGCGCGAGCCGCGGTCGACGCCCAAGGGCAGCGGCAGAGGCAAGGGCGAAGGACGAGGCAAAGGCAATGGCAAGGGCAAGGGGCCGCCACGCTTCCCTCCTCGCGGAGGCCAGGCGTTTCCACGGTCGCCTACGTCGGCCCCGCCGCCTTCGCCTCCGAGGTCGAACGCGTCGGGATCGACTCAGCAGCACGGTCCTCGGTTCAAGCGATTTCGAGCTGGACGTTTCGTGAACAGAAATGAGGAGTCGCACATGGTCGAGGACGTGGGCGGCACTGCGAACACTGAGGATCTCGAGTTCGCCAACACCACTGAGGAGGTGTTTTTTTCCGGTCGGCGAGGGCATCAGCGATGGAGGAGCTACCCGACCCGTCATGGGCCATCAGAATTGGCGACAGCGGGAGGAGTACCTGCGAGCCAAGCAGCTCACCCATGACGTGAGGTACGAGAACAGCGACCGCAGGTTCAGGTTCGGCGACGGCAAGACGCTACATGCCAAGCATAAGGTCACGCTCACCGTCTGGCCCTTTGGCGGGAGGAAGGAGATCGCCATCCACTTGGCGCCTGGGTGGGCACCGCCCCTCGTCGCGAGGCCATGCATGGAGGAGCGGGGGCTGGTCCAGGACTATCGCGAGGGCAAGTTCACGCTGATGGACCGCCCCGAGAATGGCTGGGTGACCTCCGAGCGCGACGAGAAGGGGCACTTCATTATCGACCTGTTGGGCTGCGCTGGCAACGCGCCCGACGACGCCATGAACACGGGTATCCCGACGGAGGACGAGGGCAGCAACGCCAGCGACGACTCGCCCGATCGGGCTTCGAGCGGTTCGGGACCTGAGGACGACGCCGCGGACTCGGACATCGGAGACGCTGACGCATACTACCTGGAGACGTAGAAGGCGTTCCTGGTCCCAGGCGAGACGGACGAGATCATGGTCATAGACGATTCCGAGGATCCAGAGGGCGGCGCCAGAAAGGACCCTAAGGGCATGCCGCCGGACGTCTACTCCGATTTGATCCTCACAGTGGAGAACGCCGAAGACGGGATGCGCTCGCTACTACAGGGCCCTGGTCCGAGAGTCGTCTGGGAAGTCTTCGTGGACCAAGGTCGGCTCTCCACCGAGCTGCTGAACTACCCGATGGTCGAGGTGGTGCATGTCAAGCAGGGCGAGGGCTGGAATTTCTCGAAGCCGCACATCATTCGGCAGTTTCTGGAGGCCATCGACAGGGAGAAACCAGACGACATCTTCTTGGCCCCGCCGCGTACCACCCGGCGTTCGTGGCAGCGCGCGAACGCGCCCCTCTCGGAGGGGCGCAAGGAGGCGATCGCCAAGGCCAGGGGGCGCGAGGAAGCCACATTCCTGAAGCTGGCGAAACAGACTTTCGACAAGCAGGCCGCCGCTAGGCGCCATGCATATGTGGAAGGACCCTTGAGCGGACTTCATTGGAAGACGGAGACGCGGCAAAAGCTCACGGGTGACTTTTGCAGGTTGGATCAGTGTCGGCTTGGAGCCGAGTATGAGGTCGACGGAGTGACTAAGCCGTACCAGAAGCCGACAATACGATAGTCAACCATGTGCGAGTTCATTAAAAACAGGAGCATGATATGCAAGTGCAAGACGGAGCATGTGGTGCTTCGTGGGAAGCTAGTTTTGTAAGCCCAGAACTATCCAGTAAGGGCGGCGAAGCGCACGGCCTACCCCATCGCGCATCAGGGACGCGAGGAAGACATTGAGGGAGTCGACGAAATTCACGCCACAGAGGATGTCGGACCCGACTTCGACTTGGGCGAGTACAACGACGCCATGCGGGAGCTCACGAAGCGTTATAACGTGTCCACCGTGCGAGCCGTCAAGCGCGCATCAGCCTGGGGCGCCCTTCCAGCGCCGCGCTAGCCACCGCCATGCAGAACGCGAAGGCCCCAGCTGAGTGATCCAGTGCGCTCGGGCATGCCAGTGCGAGATTTGCATGAAGCGCCAGAGGCCGCGCTCTGTCCGAGTAGCGGTTCTGCCCAAAGCCAAGCGCTTCAACCAGGTGGTCTGCACGGACGTGTACTACATAATGTGGAAGAAGAAGGAGCGGAAATCCGAGCCACCATGAACGAGGTCTCAAGGTACGAGGTCGATTGCCCGATCAAAAGGGGGACGCTCAGGCGCGAAACGAAGCTGTAGGAAAAGTTGTGGATCACCTGGGCAGGAAAACCCGACTGCGTGCGCATGGGCGCTGGAGGATCGCACGCGGCAGCCGAGATGCAGCAGTGGATGGGCGAGCGCAACATCGAGTTCGACATCATCCCCAAGGGTGCTCACCACAAGCGTGGCCTGATGCCTGATGGAGCGCAATCGCGCCGTCCGTCGAGAACAGTTGGCCAAGTACCACATGCAGTTCCCCGACGACTCGCTGAAGACGGCCCTGGGGATGACGGCCAGCCAGCGGAGCGGGCTGAGGAACGTCAACGGTTTCTCTCGGGCGATGCTAGCGTTTGGCGCGCAGCCCGAGATACCTGGGGCGTTGAGCGACGAGAACTTCGGCTTCGCCGAGCAGTCCGCGCTGACCCGAAGGGCGAGGTGCACGAGATCATGGTGCGTCGGATGGCCGTGGGCACTGCCTTCATCGAAGCGAACTGCCCCCGCGCTGCGCGAGCCGCCTTGCTCGCGCGCAGCCGCCCCGCGCGCAGGGATTGCGAGATCGGCGAGCGGGCGTGCTACTGGAGGCCGCGCAAGGACAGGGAGATGGAGAAGTGCCACTGGCACGGGCCGGCGCTGGTCGCGGCCGTGGAGGCTAAGTCTAACGAAGACGAGGTGCTACATGCAGGCGTGGCCTGGCTGACGCACGGGCGCGCCATGCGCAGATGCAGCTTGGGGCAGCTACGACCCGAGCTAGCGTCGGAGACGAGGAGGGGGCGAGAGGCGAAGCCTGGCGACCCGCGCTGCCCGCTCAGCACCACGAAGAATCTACAAGAGATGCTCAAACAAACCAAGGGGACGTTCAACTTCCAGGACCTGCGAGAGGAGGGCGACAAGCCAGAGTACGACGAAACTGTGGACGACATGGGCCTGCCCCCTACTGTCGCCGCTCGCGCGGAGACGGATCAGGAGGCTGGACGACCAGAGGACGCCGCGCCAGCCACCCCTGCCGCGGAGGAGCAGTCGCCCGACAGCTTCATGCCCGACTCGCCAGAGGAGCCGCCGACAGCACCTGTTGACGCCCATGCGGAAGCGCCAGCTGCGGCCTCGCCGGCAAGTGAGCCGACCAGGGCCTACATCGAGCAGTTGGCCAAACGCAGCGTGGAGGCGAACGACCGTTTGGACGGGTTGCCGAATAAGAAGGCGCGGCTCACCTGGAAGGCGTCAGAGGCCAAGGCCGAGGGCGCGAAGTTCATGGAGGACGAAGATGATGAAGAGTTGCTCTTGCTGGAAGAATCGGTCGAGACCGTCTTTTGGTCACGTTCACGCGGAAAGCCCCCACCATCGTGGAGGCCAGGCTCTCACCCGAGGAAAAGAAGCAGTTCCAGGAGACGAAGTGGGAATCCCTTGAGGTCTTCCGTAAGAACGAGGGGTGGGGGCCCATTAACGAGTCCGAGGTCGACCCAGCCGCTTGCTGCCCGCTACGGTTCCTGCTGAAGTGGAAGCTGAGGGATGGCCAGCACGTGGCCAGAGCGAGAGTTCTGCACCAGGGCGTGAAGCATCGCGGCGTGGTCGAGGGGCAGCTCGACAACGAGGCGCCGACCCTGAGCCGCCTCGGCCGACGCGCCATCATGCTGTGGGCGACAGTGCGTCAGTGGAAGTTGTTTTCCGCCGACGTGAAGTCAGCGTTCCTTCAAGCTGACAACGTGGAGTCCCGCGGATTGAAGCTGCACGCCACACGTACCATGGAGACGCGTGAGATATTGTCACAGCAGGTCGGACTGGAACTTGGACAGTTGCTGAAGATGATCCAGCCATGCTTCGGAGACCCGCGGTCGCCTAAGCTGTGGCACTACCTCTCCGACGAAGTCACCAATGAGATTGGGTTCAAGAACCATTGGCTCGAGGACTGCTTGTTACTCAGCTTGAGGACCGCGAAGGCCAGTGACGACCCGCTCGACATCTGCGTGATCGACGGCCAGCACTGCGTGGTGGACGGCCTGACCGGGAAGCACGTGGACGACTTCTTGGGATGCGGGAATAATGTGAACACGGAGGACGATCTGCACGCGCCCGTGGACGACCCCGAGTCGTTCAAGGCCAGGCTCGCTCTACTTAACCAGAAGCTCAATTTCGGCAAGTGGGACTTCGGGCATGAGCTGACGTTGACGGGTGGCGAGCTGGAGCAGAACGTCAACACCACGCGACCACGCTGAGGTTCGAGAAGTACTTGCACACGGTCAAACCGATCTCCATCGACAAGGTCCGACGTGCGAGCCCGACGAGTCCACTGCACTGAAGGAGTTGACGAGTTCCATGACGCTGACTGGACAGTTGCAGTGGCCAGCCGCGCAGGGCATCATTATTGCAGCCGCCACCGCGTCGTTTCGCGCTGCTGCGACGGGCAACGCCACCGTGCAAGACATGATCGACGCGAACAAGGACCTGCGAGTCCTGAAGGCCAATGCGGGCGTCGGATTGTACTTCAGCTTCGACAAGCAATGGAGCGCTATGAGGATTGGAGCTTACTCGGATGTTAGCTGGGCGAGCTGGCCTGACGGGAGCTCACAGGGTAGTTACCATATCTTCATCGGGCCTGCCGAAGAGCTTGAGGCAGGCACACCTGCACCGATCGTGGCTATGGAATGGGCTTCGAAGAAGTTGCAACGCCTGTGCAGGAGTTCGCTGTCAGCCGAGGCTCAGGCCGCCGCGCCGGGCGTGGGCTCGCTCGTGTGGGTGGAGATCTACGTGGCGCTGAGCTTACGGCCCGACCTGACGGGCGACGAGGCCATGACGTACTTCGAGCAGTCCCCTTTCATCACGGACGCCAAGTGTCTCCATGACGCTTCGCAGTCAGTTACCGCGGGATTGGGCATCACCGAGAAGCGTACTGCCATCGAGGTCAGGATCGTGAACGAACAGATGAAGGAGATTGACGCGATCTGGAGATGGGTGAACACCCAGCAGCAGCTGGCCGATGGGCTTACCAAGCTCAGCAGTTGCCAGACGCTAGCGGACATACTACGACGTGGAGTACATGCGCTGAAGTACGACCCGAACTTCGCGGCGGCGAAGAAGCTGAGCAAAAGGCAGGTGGAGCTGCGCGAGCAAGAGCTGGAGCAAGCCGGCGACGAGCATGCGGGCAACACCGAGACTACGGAACAGCCGAAGCAGAGAGCGCGCCGTGGACACTACGGAGCGAGCGGGAGGAGGCTAGCAGCTACTCTAGCCGCAGGCGCCGCTTCAGGGAGCCAGGGACGCGACGCGCGCACCCTGGTGGATCTGGGCGGAGGCGCGTGGGACCTCCTGACGTTTCTCGTGTTTGTGATCGTGCTATCGCCGGGCATCGGTCTAGCGATCGTCTATTGCATGGGGAGAAAGGTTGGCGCAAGGCTGCCCCAGCGGAAGATGGAGAGCCCCATGGACACGGTACTGCAACCACGAGGTGGAGCTACGAGTGACGAAGAAGAAGACGAAGACGCAAAGGGCACGGACAGTGCCTCACCGAAGATGGGAACGAGCAGTGAAATGACAAAGACGACTATGAGGTCTACCATCCCCGGAGATGCGCCGACGCGCGGACCGACGGTGACGTCCGCAACCCGAAGGCGCCCAGTGACGACAGCCAAGCAGCCCGACGTGTACATCAGCACGTACGGCGAGACACACCATCTGACGAGCACATGCGCTGGGTTGCGGGGCGCGAAGAATGCGACGAGGTACGAGATTTGCAGGTTCTGCAACGAGGATGGGCCGCCCACGAGCGGCAAGTGAGTTTCCCTGTAGGTTGTGGTGTCGAGGCGAGAAGCCGAGCCTCGCTTCGACAGCGAATTAAGGGATTGGGTTTTTATGCGGTGGAGCGTTTTACTCCACGTGTGGTTTGGTGAATTAGATTTGCCAGGCCATATTTGTTCAGAGGGGCGATCGCCCGTGGGACTCGCGCTTTCCGTGCAGAGTTTCTTTCGTTTTAGGTTTGCTCGCAGGGCCCTTTTCGGTTTCGATGACTTTTCCTGTTTAAGTTGATGTTCCCGGGCGGCTTGCCTTGGAACCCCCGATCATACGGTTTTGATTTCGTGAATGTTGCGAAGTAATATGTGCTAGCTCCTTTTTTCCGCCCGTGCCCGTTGATGTTTAATATAATTTCGTGTGTCTCTTAGCACAGTATTTGCAGCAGTGCATCAAGCAGTGCGTTCATGGTTGTTGGACCGCCGCTGTTTCATGATCGAGGGGCCTCTGAGTAACACAAAAGGTTGCGTTCTTTGTTCTTCGTCACGACGAGATTATTCATAATGAGCCCGAGGTACGACAGACAGTATTCTCTAGAGAGCGCGCGAAGGACTTCGCGTGCTTTCATCGGTTGATACCTGGGGCCCTCCCCCACATATTCGGGACGGGCAAATCAAGAACGACATGGCCCCCGGGAATTTAGCGCACGCCCCCCCCCCCCCCCCTTCCCCGGCAGAGCCGCCCTGGCCGCCCTCCCTCCCCCGCGGAGCAGATTTTGCTGCTTTCAAAAGTCGCCCCCATGGAGCTGTTCGATTCGAATCGGTTTTATGATGATAGTGGTGGTGGTGATGGTGATGATGATGGTGTGCGATGGTGATTATTATTGTCATTGTGCTGGTGGTGGTGATGGTACTGGTGATGACGGCGTTGTCGATCATGATGATAACGACGACGACGACGATGATGGTGATAATGATGATGATGATGGTGATGGTGATGATGTTGATAATTATTTTCTTGCACAGGGTGTCTAGAGCTCCGACCATTTTATTTCGGCGGCGTCGTCGCTCCCCCCCAGCTGCCTTGTGCCCTTCATGTGTCGCTATATGTGTCGCTGTGTGCCTTGCGCCCTTCATGTGCCGCTATATGTGTCGCTGTGTGTCGCTATGCGTCTCCATGTGTGCGTCGCTCTGTGTCGCCTTGTGCCCTTCATGTGTCGCTATCTGTGCCGCTGTGTGCCTCGTGCCCTTCATGTGCCGCTATATGTGTCGCTGTGTGTCGCTATGCGTCTCCATGTGTGCGTCGCTATGTGTCGCTGTGTGTCGCTATGCGTCGATATGTGTGTGTGTGTGTCGAGATATGTCTCTATATGTCGATATGTGTCGACATGTGTCGCTATGTGTCGCTCCCCAGCACCCCAGCGCACCGCCCCCTCCGCCCCGACGACTCTATTTCGGCGTCGTCGTCGCCCCCCCCCTCTCTCCCTCTCCTCAGCAGCCCAGCGCGCTGCCCCCTCCGCGCCGACCACTTTATTTCGGCGTTGTGTCGACATGTGTCGCTATGTGTCGCTCCCCAGCACCCCGGCGCACCCTCTCCGCCCCGACCATTTTATTTCGGCGTCGTCGTCGCCCCCCCCCCCCCCCCCCCCCCCCCTCTCCCTCTCCTCAGCAGCCCAGCGCGCTGCCCCTTCCGCCCCGACCACTTTATTTCGGCGTTGTGTCGACATGTGTCGCTATGTGTCGCTCCCCAGCACCCCAGCGCACCGCCCCCTCCGCCCCGACGACTTTATTTCGGCGTCGTCGTCGCCCCCCCCCCCCTCTCCCTCTCCTCAGCAGCCCAGCGCGCTGCCCCCTCCGCCCCGACCACTTTATTTCGGCGTCGTCGTCGCCCCCCCCGGTCCTTTTCCCCAGCAGCCCAGCGCACCGCCCTCTCCGCCCCGACCACTTTATTTCGGCGTCGTCGTCGCCCTATTTCGGCGTTGTGTCGACATGTGTCGCTTTCCCCAGCAGCCCAGCGCACCGCCCTCTCCGCCCCGACCACTTTATTTCGGCGTCGTCGTCGCCCTATTTCGGCGTTGTGTCGACATGTGTCGCTATGTGTCGCTCCCCAGCACCCCAGCGCACCGCCCCCTCCGCCCCGACGACTTTATTTCGGCGTCGTCGTCGCCCCCCCCCCCCCCCCCCCCTCTCCCTCTCCTCAGCAGCCCAGCGCGCTGCCCCCTCCGCCCCGACCACTTTATTTCGGCGTCGTCGTCGCCCCCCCCCCAGCCTTTTCCCCAGCAGCCAGCGCGCGCCCTCTCCGCCCCGACCACTTTATTTCGGCGTCGTCGTCGCCCCCCCCCCATCCCCCTCTCCCCAGCAGCCCAGCGCGCCGCCCCCTTCGCCCCGACCACTTTATTCTCTTGCACAGCTGTGCTCTAGAGCTCGGACCTCTTTATTTTCGTTCGTTCGTCGTCGTCCCCGGCCCCTGGTCCGGTCCCGACCCTGGACCCAACCTCCCCACCCCGTCCTGGCCTCAGCCCCCCTCGCCCCGCTGGCCCTGGCCCTGGACCCAGCCTCCCCTCCACCCGGCCCTGGCCCCAGTCCCCTTCGCCCTGGACCCTTTATTTTCGCTCGTCGTCGTCCCTGGTCCGGTCCTGGCCGTGGACCCAACCTCCCCCTTGGCCCTGGCCCCAGCTCCCCTCGCCCCGCTGGCCCAGGGCCTGGACCCAGCCTCCCCCCGCCGGCCCTGTCCCCAGTTCCCCTCGCCCTGGACCCTTTATTTTCGTTTGTCGTTGTCCCTCTGGTCCCGGCCCTGGACCCAACCTCCCCACCTGGCCCTGGCCCCAGCCCCCGTCGCCCCGCTGACCCTGGCCCTGGACCCAGCCTCCCCCCCGGCCCTGGCCCCAGCCCACCTCGCCCTGGCAACCCTTTATTTTCGCTCGTCGTCGTCCCTGGCAGCTGGTCCGGTCCTGGCCCTGGACCCAACTCCCCCCCTTGCTGGACCCTTTGTTTTCGTTCGTCGTCCCTGGTCCGACTCTGGCCCTGGACCCAACCTCCCCACCTGGTCCTGGCCCCGTGGAGCCCCCCTCGCCCCGCTGGGTCCCTGGTCCGGTCCTGACCCTGGACCCAACCTCCCCCCCTGGTCCTGGCCCCAGCTCCCCTTGCCCCGCTGGCCCAGGGCCTGGACCCAGCCTCCCCCCCGCCGGCCCTGTCCCCAGTTCCCCTCGCCCTGGACCCTTTATTTTCGTTTGTCGTCGTCCCTCTGGTCCTGGCCCTGGACCCTGCCTCCTCCCCTGGCCCTGGCCCCCCGCCCCCCTTGCCCCGCTGGCCCTGGCCCTGGACCCAGCCTCCCCCCCCCCGGCCCTGGCCCAGTCCCCCTCGCCCTGGACCCTTTGTTATCTTGCGCAGCTGTGTTCTAGAGCTCGGACCTCTTTATTTTCGCTTGTCGTCGTCGTTCGTTCGTCGTTCGTCCTCCCCCCGGCGGCCACAAAAATAAACTCCTGGAGGAAGGAGGCGAAAGCCTCCTGTCTCTCGCGGCTCCTTAGTGCAAGAGCCAGGGCACGCGTGCCACTTGTTATGGTGATGATGGCGAGGTTGTAAGGAATGGATAGGGAGCTACTGATATGGATAGTGCGGCCACGGAACATTGGGAGGTGAAGGCGGAGGAGGAGGAGTACGGAAGAAGAGGAGGAAGGGCTGGAGGAGGAGAGACGATGAGGAGGCGGATCAGGAGGAAGAGGAGGATCACGAGGAGCACGAGGATGAGAGATGGTCTGGATACTTTGGACCTCACAATGCTACAGTCACCGCGTGATTGGACATGCTTTCCCGAAGTTGTCTGTGACACATGCTTATTGATGTCATCACTGTTTCTGTCATGACCGTTTTCATGATCACGCTTGCCATCCGAACAAGTAACGCTACAATTGTCACAGTCGTCGGGGTTGCAAGTTGTAGCATGTCAGTGCAACACCCTGGGGTACAGTGCCGAATGCCATGGAGTGTGGTATTTGGCTTGTGATGGACTCATGCATCATTGACCAGTTTGTTTTTGCGAGGCGTGACTCAATTCTAGACGCTTCGCGTATCCCCACCAGCCCGTCCAGAAACGACGCCCAGGCGAGTAGAGGGTCGTCCTGAGGGGCTTTTCGGCGTCTTGGGTGCCTCGGGGGGGCCTCTTTGGGCCGTTTGGGATCCTCTTGGGGGCCTCCTGGGGGCCTCTTGGGGCCATCTTGGGGCCATCTTGGGGCCTCTTGGTGCCTCCTGGGCGCTTCTTGGGGCCATCTTGGAGGAAATCGATCAAAGAAGAGGGGAGCTTCAATTAGTGCTGCCCCCTCTGGGGGCCAAAATGGGGCCAAAACCTTAGTAAAATCAATGATTTGGGCTTCCTCGGCGAGGCCGTTTTGGACGCTCTCACCGCTCCCCGCCCCCCCTGTCCAGGTCAGTGGGGAGGGGGTAGGGGGAGGGGTAAACCCCTCCCCGAAGGGGAAGAAGGAGGGGTGGAAGAGAAAACGCTCTAAACCACCGACGCCCAGAGGGCTGGTGGGATTCGTATTTCTGGTGTTCAGGATGCGGTCTTGGTCTCGGCAGTGGTCCTCGCTCAAAAGCTGTGTTGCTATGTTTCAGCGATGCCCCGTCCACCTTGCCCTCGATCTTGCTCGACCTTTCCTTCTACTGTGTGTCGCTGTTTGCCTGGCGGGGCTTGGTGCGAGCCTGAAAAGAATGAGAAGAAGGACGAGGATGTCGGCGAGATTGGTAAGGAAGGGCAGGAGTTCGAGTTGGACGAGTGCGTGAACGGAGAACGGCCAAGATTAGAGGGGCCTTGGCGACGCTCGGAGGGTTGGGTGGTGGGGGCGCTGGGCGGCGGCCGAGGCTTAGCGGCGAAGCACAGGATGGGGAACTCGCAGCGGATCGACCAGGCTTGAGCCCCCATCCTCTGGAGGGGCGGTATGCGTGCGATGGCCACCGCGACAAGGCCCCGGTATCAATACACATTAATCGTATCCTGGCGGCTGCCAGCGACCAGTCCGGATACCCAGGTAGGCACGGCCGGCGGGGTCATTGAGG